TGGGCCAGCTAATTCTCTTTGGTTGCCTTGTGCATTGTAGCATGATTAGCACCACCTAGGCCTCTGCCCACTCTGACAGTAGCACCCCAGAAATGATGACCCCCAAAATGTTTCCAGACATTACTGGTATCCCCTGGGGAGGGCAAAATCACCCCCTACTGAGAGCCATTGGTCTATACTAACAAGTCTATAACACGGTGGTCTTCTTTTAAAAATCCTATCTGTCTTAAAATAGGCATTATGTTCAAAATTCAAGTGGTACAAAAGGGTATATACTGAAAAATTTCCTTTCCTACTTGTCCCCCACACCCCAGTTCCCTTCTCCAGAGACCTCTAGTTAATCCAGCTTTTGAACTGCATTTTTGTTTTAAAATCTTCTCTTTAGATGAAATCTTACCTACAGACCCAGAATATGAAACTGGTAACAATGATGACTAACACTATACTCTGGTTACTATTCTAAGTGCCTTGAACAAATGAATCCATTTAATCCTCACACAAGCCTGTAAGACAGGAACCACTGCAATCCATTTTACAGAGGATGAATCGGGGGGCACAGAGAGGTTAAGTAACTTGCCCAAGGCCTCACAGCGAGTAAGTGATGGGGCTGGGCTGAAGTGGGACCCAGCAGAGGATGTCCCCCCACCCCCTGCCCTCTCACTCCCCCTTCCTTCCTCTCCCCCAAGGTATCCCCACTGGCTTGGGGAGAGCTCAGGCCTGTCTTTCTCCTCCCTCTCTCATTCCCAGCACCAGTGGTTCTCAAAGTGTGGTCCTTGGACCAGCAGTGCCAGCATCACCTGGGAACTTGTTACAAGTGCGCGTTCTCAGGCCCCACCCCAAAGGAACTAAGTCAGAAACGTGGGAGTGGGGCTCAGCAGCCTGGATATTAACCAGCTCTCCAGGTGATTCTGATGCAGCTAAAGTTTGAGAACCACCACCTAATGCTCCCCCTGGGTCCTCCTGGGTTGGGGAGGCACCCTCCTCACTTGGCCCAGGCTGACCGCCCCCCTATTCTGGCCTTCCATCCTGCAGAAGTCAGACCCTTTCCTTGCTGACCTCCGCCAGGCCTCCTGCCTGCTACAGGCTTCCATCAAGGAGTTTGAGAAGGGTGACCCCCCTGGAGGGGCACAGGTGAGCCAAGAGCATGGGGTGGGAAAGTCACACCACACCCCAGAGTCCACGGACCATGGGCTCAGTGAAGGGGACAGCCAAGGTGGGCGTGATCACCCCTGTTTTTCATTCATTCATTTGACTAAGATTTATTGGGTACTCGTTATGTGCACCCAGAGGCCCAGCCTGGGGCAAACTGACTTGTCCCTGCCCTCACGGGGTTCATGGTACAATGGTAGAGGTAGTTGTTTAAAAAGCAAGTGAAGAAATGGATATGTAGTTACAAATTGTGCTGACTGCCATAAAAGTAAGATTGAGAATAACGGAGAAGCAAGGAGGGCCTCCCTGAAGAGATGGCATTTAAATTGAGGCCTGAAGGATGAGAAGGAGACTGCATGGGACTAGGAGGGGGACTGGGTTCCAGGCGGAGGGCAAGCACGTGCAAAGGCCCTGAGGTGGGATTATGCTTGTTATGTTCAGGAATAGCATAGGGGCCAATGTGAAACACAGTGAGTTGGGGTGGGGTAGGTGAGGAGAAAGCTACGGGATCTTCTGGGTCCGATGGGGGCTGTATCAAGGAGGAGTTGGGTTGAGATTTTATTCTAAGTGGGCAGGGAAGCCACTGGAGAGTTTTAAGCAAGGGGTTAATCAAATTTGCTCTTTGAGATACTTCCAGCTGCTGTGTAGAGAACAGACTGCAGGGGGAGCCAGAGTGCAGCAGGGAGACCAATGAAGAGGCTGGGATGGGTGTCCCAGCAAGAGATGACGACACTTGGACCAGTGAGGTTGCCATGGCATAGAGAGGAGTGGCGTGAGGAGATGTTTTAGAGCTAGGAAGGATAGACTTTCTGTTGGACCTTGAATGTCAAACTGGGGGAGTCGGGTGTGACCTGGGTGGGAGGAGCCCTGGAAGGTTGTAGAGGGAGAGTGGGAATTGAGCCTCAGGCCACCTCCTTACACTGGCAGGAGGCCTCCAGGTGTCTCAGCAAGTCCAAGTTGCTGATGGAGGCGGTGCTGAGGGACCCAGGCCTGCTAGGCCTCCAACGCGAAGGTGGAGCCACCCTGGCCAGGCTGCAGCAGGAGGCCAGCAGGCTGGACTTCAACCCAGATGTCAGGTACGGACACCCAGGCTTTTCCTCTCCCACCCCCACCCTGTTTCCTGGCCTGGGAGCTTGGAGCTGGTGACACACAGGGCGGGCCCCACAGATGCCCAGAATGGGGAATGTTTCCAGGGCCCATACCCTGAGCTGAGGCCTTGGCAAGTACCCTGTTCCTTCTCTGCTGCCCTCCTTGTTACAAGTTCTACAGCCCTGGCCATCTTCAGGCTGGGATGGGCATCAGAAGACAGCTCTGTTCATATCTGGTCACCCTTACAGACCAAGTACTTTCTCTGACCCAGACTCTGAGCTGAGCTTGGTCGGGAGAACCTCATAGTGTGTCAGGGGTCTCAGAACCACAGAACAAATAATATGATTATATTCCTGGAAAGTAATAATTTTCTTAAATTTGAGAGGGGGGTATGCAACTCAGTAATTAAATCAGTCAGTATTTGGAAATATTTTATCCCTGTTAGAACAAACAACAGTTCCAAAGTTTGCAAAGGCTTCTAAGGACAATTTTATTTAACCAACACCTAAACAGCCTTTAGTATGAGCACAACATTGTTTTCAGGATTTTACACATAGTAACTCGTTTAATTCCCACCCAATGAGGGGGATCCTGGGAGTATCCTCATTTTACAGTAGAGGAGCCTGAGTCACAGAGATAGGTTAAGTGATTTGCCCAGGGTCACACAGCTGGGATGTGGTGGGGCCAGGACTTGAACCCAGGCAGCCTGGCCCAGAATCTAGAACACACCAGCCGGAGCTGTGCCCACAGAGTCATGCCCATGTGAGCACTGAACAGCAGAGGGCCCTGGGGCTGGGTGTGGAGTCCTGTCCTTGCCCCTCACACGGTCTGGTGGGGCGGGCACTGTCGTTCCTAGCATGTCTCCGCCTCCCAGGCTGAACGCCAGGCCCTTCTTGTCCACCGGAGGCGCCTCCAGACCGTTGTCCGCTGGCAGCTCCACCAGGGGGCGCTGTAGTCCCATGTGAGCCGCTCTGCGTGTTTGTTCTGCAGAAGGGTCCCTGTGGCTCCCGCCTACCGCCC